ATTAGGATTAAAATTATTATTGTTTTAATTCCTTAGTGATTTTCCATATGAGTTGGTATTAACTGTATGAAAAGACTCATTGACACCTCAATATAACAAGTTGTATTCTCAACTCTCATCAAATAAGTTAATTGAAACATCTTGTTCATCTTGACATGTAAACACAAAATATAAATTCATAATATATCTAAACCGTGTCATGCTAAACATTTACAAATAATCCCATATTATGGAGACAAAAAAGTACCTAAGAAAAACTAACATTTGAGAAAGTGGTCCGAGTTGTCTTGGGTTTATAGCTTCAAAAGATTCTACTTAATCTTTATCAAATAAGTCAAATTAAAACATTTTAATCAAATTAGTACAAAATATGTATTCACAATCATGTATAATATATTTAATAAGCATAAAACAAAGACTAAAGAACCCTAAACAATGATAAAAATCATTATTTTAAAAAGTGGTCCGAGTTGTCTTGGGTCCGAGTTGTCTTGGGTCCGAGTTGTCTTGGGTCCAAGATGTCTTGGGTCCGAGTTGTCCAGGGTCCGACTTGTCCTGGGTCCGAGTTGTCCGGAAACCCTCTTTTATGTTAGTCTCAGACTCGACTCGACATTCGACGGGAAACTTGAAACATTTTGTCACCAATGGAGCAAATTATTTTTTTACTGCAGCATGACCTTTGAAAATTTGATTTCATTCATAGAAAAAGAAAAAATTTAAAAAACTGAATTGAAAAGCGATCTATTTTCCTTTTTATGACCGCCGTTTTTGTTTCAGACAATTTTCCAAAATTTCAAAGATTATATCATTTAGAGCAATTTATTGGGCACATTTTCTGAAAAATTCAAAAGATTCTGTACAGTGACCTTTCCTAACCGCCTACTTTTAGCTATTTTCGGTCACATTTTCAGAGGGCTAAAAACGTTATTTTATCACGTTGGGGGTCACTCTAACCATGTACATTGTGATCCTTGTGATCCTTGTCATGTAAATGATATGTGCAACTAGTTAAACTGAATGAAGGTCAAAACAGAACCTGAGAACTCTGTTCAATTCTTGGTTCAAAAATGTTTGATATCAAGCATGGTATTGCCACTTCCTGCCGTTAAAGATTCTCGCAATCTTTATCCAATCAGCGTTTGCGAGTGTGTCGGCTCACGTATAAAAGGCGAATCCAACTCAAATCCATGCAGGGGTGTATGAGGTACTCGAATATGAAAGAGCTCGTGAAATCTGAATTTATATGCACATGGTCAATGTTTACACATGTTTGGAGTTATTGAAGAAAATGTGATATGGGTGTGGTTCCGGATTTGAAGTCATTGCTGGAAAATATGATTTTAATACGTGAAATTATATCTATAAATACAGCACTAAAAATAACAGTACACTATATACATGTATGATTGTGTCCAGAAATGTTTGAAACCCTTACGGAAAATTCTGTCTACATTGTGTCACCAAAAACATTTAGATCATAAAAAATTATTCAATACTTGAGTGAGCACGATATGCAAGGGTTACTAAGTTGACACAGTAAATGACCACTGATATATTGTGTTAGTCCATGCACACAGCGTATTCTGCTATTACATTTGTTAACACCCCCACTTTCATAGTGAAGTGACTAATTGGTTTATGTTTACGTTTTAATGTGTTTTGGGTTCCTTGTTACAGCAAGGGGAGCCAGTAAAGTAGACTAACATGTTTGCATGGCAAATTTTGATCGAATATGTGAGACACTTTAAGTACTATTGCACCTAAAGAGACCAAAGCTGAGTGATCACAAGAAAGGGTGCTTTTAATGGGCAAGAAAGCACCAAAACGTTGGATTTAATCTTTGATGTCATATGACAGCATGAGATGAAATAAGATGTGTCATCCACAAAGTTGATAATTGTGTTCGTTTCTGTCGTAGACCAGGGGAAAGAGACAATAAGGACACTTACTGATGTGGTAGTCCATGAAGGCGTCCCGGTATTTACTAGTCTAAGTATGTTTGGAGCAGTATTACATAGGCGATTTGGAGCAGTACTACAGAAGTTGCACCCCCTTGGTGATTTCCAAACATAATTTCAGAGTTATTTGAACTTTTGGACCTCTATCAAGTACCACATGCAAACAGAGTGTTTTGGGGCAACATCACCTGCAGAATGATCATGATGTTGCATAATATGCTAGTGACATTGTGTTGGATTACACCAGGGCAGGCAATGTGGACCAGCTACCATGGGCACAAAAGTCACCCAATCAGGCTCCTGCAGGGCAAGTGTGGGACAACCTTAATAATGAGATTCGTGACTTGAACCCCACCTCAAAATTTAGACACATAACACACTGCCCAGATTGAGGAATGGGGCATTCTTTCACTTTGAAAGGTCAGATATTTCATTCATAGTTGGTCCCATAGGGTTGATGCTCTGATTGCAGAACAAGGAGGACACAACACAAGGCATATTACTGCTATCATTGGACGGAGGACATTTCAATATTCATGACCAGATGTTTACCTAGTTTAATCTGTTTTACACGGCGATTTAGATCGGGGTGTTTTGAAAATGCAAAAATTCTTGGTGTACCCCTGTTCAAATAACAGTCATTTTCTAAACTTAAATGTAAATATTTTTTCTCTAAAAATGTTTATTTGTATATGAAATATGTGGTTATGATTTGCCTAGAAAATAAATGTCTGAACCGACTCCAAATAAATGTTCCATTACTCAAAAACTTGAATTCTGAGCTGCCATATCTAATATTCCATATTTATGAGCAACAGTGTAAATCATATGATCAAATTTTTCAAAACAGAAAAATATGTATAAAAGTAAGGCCTGCAGGTCCAATTCCACCTGGAAGCATTAACATTGGTCTCGTATATATCTATCATTCAATTAATATTTGAAACAACTATTTTTGAACTTATGATGAGACATAAGTATGATGTTACTTTATTAGCTTGAAGTACACAATGGACAAAGATAGAGAATACCCGCTCTAATTGCAACTTAACTGTACCCCTGCATCCTTTTTAAATGTGGTCGCGTGAAAGAGTTGTGTGTATTTATTTCCAATGTTTCTATTCTTCTACAAGGTGGTCTATTTGTCTTAAACCTAAAATGTTCTTTTTTTTGGGGGGGCAGCCTAAGGATTTTTTGATAACCTTTTTGTAGTTTTGATCTGAAACTTTCTGGCTTCTCTGGAAATTGAAGGAAACAATAGGCTCTCATCCCCATAGGAGGAAAGTAAGAGCTGGTCATAGTTACTGAAATACCCAAATTGTCAATAGTTTTGACGTTTTTAGAATGTGAATTTCTTCAGCCTTCATGCCTAAATATAGTTAGAAGTAGGCTCAAAATAGCTTTCCAATGATACCCGATACACCCTACTTTGGTGGGGTTTTCCGAGATCATAGGAGGGCAGATCCCCTCGAACGGTTGGTGTAATTCTCTATAACCTAACCGTTTCTATGTTAATAGTACAGTATTAATCCTTACTAATACAGGGGACGATCTACTCTTGCTGAACTTCAAACAAGCACTCTATTCATTGAACTTCATAGTGTCATTCTTTGCATAAGCAATATTTGTAAACCTATTTACAAACTAGAAGTTTATGAAAATGGAAGCAATATGTTCGGCTATGAACCGTTTGACTACGGACTATAGTCGATTTATGTCCTGATCACATTTGCTCCGATCCATCAGCCGGCGCCCGCCCGATTGAGCGTTTCGTTCAATATTGTATTCAATTTTGAACAAAATACTCAATCGGCCGGGCGCCGTAGTGAAAATCAGTGCAAATGTGACCAGGACATAACTGGATGGGTATGAGTAAAATAATGCTTGAAAATTAATGCCAGCCAACTGGCTAAGAGTATTTATCCTATTTGTCTAACATATGATCATTGGGTCTATCCACATAAACATGTGGTCCCCTCAACATATTCTCCAAAGCAAATCTGAGGTACCCTTGCCCATGCTCACATGCATTGTAATATCAGGTCTTTCAGAAGCCCTTCAAAAAATCAAGGGTGTAAAGTAGGATGACCTTGGGGGCCAACCCATTGGGTAATTCAATGCTATCTCCTGATTTCCAAAGAGTTCTACCAAATGATCTGCCACAGGCCTTTGCACCATCCTGTTGCCATCGTATGTAACAAAATTGAACACTCTGACAATGAAATCTTGTATTTCTATCTAGGAAAGAAACAACTGGATCATTGATCAAACCAAGATATCACTGTCCACTGAATTCACACCAAAAAGAATTGATCACCACACGTCCAACCACTGAGAAGTTGGTGCAAATCAGATTTCACATGCGTCTATAAAATCTGTCCTGTGCAGCCATTCATGGACGGATTTTGAAATCATGAAAGATATTGAACCTTTTGTAAGTGTAACATTTTTTTGAGACACACTGTATAGTCGATTTACTGGATGGGTATAGAGTAAAATCATCCTTGAAAATTAATGCCACATAGCATAGATTTTTGTAAGTATTTTCATATTCAGGCATAGATTTCTGTAAATATTTCCATATTGAGAGCTAAGAGTATTTAAAATGTGAATGGTTATGTTCTTGTTAAAATTCCCTTCAATCAAAAACATAAATAGTCATATGAAATATAATAGTATTTTTCTATATTTTGAAGTAAACATTACAATATACATGTACTTTTTCCTAATATGGGGGCAATCTATTATTAGACCACCCAAATTGAACCCCCTGGAAGGAGCCATTGCTCTGTTTTTACTAACTACTTATTGTATCTTACAGTATTATTTTACATGAAATTTGGCAATTATAATATTGAAATGTACAATTTACACTTGATGAATTTAATGTAGAACAATTTGTAATAATATGTTTGAAGGTACACACTAGTGATTATATACACTTGCGATTATCAATACAAAGCAGACTTCAAATTGGTATCCGCAGGTGTCCGTCTATTTCTAATACAGACTATAAGCTATACAAACAACGTTGATGACGCGAATACGCCTATATAAGGGCGTCAACGCCTGCTGGCGTCACCGCCTGTGGTTACCCACTTGTTACTTCAGAATTTCTCACATTAGACAATATAAAAGAGGAAAAGAAAGAAAAAAGGGGAAAATGTGTTTATGAATATGGACGTTACTACAAAACCTTACATTTTCCCACTCTAAGGTTAGAAAATACACAATAAGTTAAATACACACTCCCAGCCCCCTCTGTACACTATATATATATTCAGACCCTTGGGTCAAAGTTTGTAGTCTTTGTTTCCCCTCAAAGGAGAGTCACTCTCGATGAGCACTAAGTGCTGAGAATAGTCTTAATCGCAATATTCTTTGTTATTTGTATTCGCAGTTTATATCATAGCATTCGTATACCAATCTGTAGAGTCGCTGTGTCGCTGTAGTGATTGGTATGGAAAATATCGTAAATCTCGTCGCACGTTAAATCAGGTCGGCCACATTCATGGGCATTTCCTCTATCTGTGTGTTGTAGAACTGCTCTATATCCCGTAGAGTACGGCTGTCGTCTCCTGTGACGAAGTTGATGGCAACTCCTTTACGTCCAAACCTTCCACCACGTCCAATCCTGGAATAGAACAAGACTCGATATCGGAATGTACCAATAGACTTTACTTCACAAATATTCAAGAGTGTAAAAAGGGTGTGGTTTCATGGGAACAGAGTTAATTCTATTGGGGAGAAATTCTCATCAAATGCCACAACCAAACTTTACTGCAGTGAGAACTATACATAGTTTCTCCTAAATATTTCAATCATTGCAATCATTTTCAGGAATTTTACTATATCATATATATCCTGTTGTTTCAGTTCGTTCATTATGCATACATTAACAAATAATGCCGATGAAAAATCACTAAATCATGTAATCCATCAACAAGCCTACCTATGGATGTAGTTCTCCCTGTTCGTTGGGAGATCATAATTGATAACAAGTGATACTTGTTGTACGTCAATACCACGTGCCAGCAAATCAGTGGTGATAAGTACACGGCTGGATCCAGATCTGAACTCCCTCATGATGACGTCACGCTCCTTCTGGTCCATGTCTCCATGCTAGAAGTAAACAAACATGGAAATAAATATATGCATTCTGTAACATTATTGTTAACACACATATCTAGATTCGTACATGATCTAATCTATTCCTAGATTTTTGTCAACCAAATACATCAGTCCAGATGGAGAAAATAATGAAACTATTCTTTTTGTCAGACACTTTGGTACCAATGCACCAGAAAAAGATGCACCAGTACAGTCAGTGTCTTTTAATATACACAGCATAAACGCCAAAGATACAATGAAAGTGTAAAATTGGAGCTGGACTGTGACCAGTTATCTTCATATATTTGATAAATTGGTAGATAACACATGCAGTGATCTCCCCAGCATTATTTAAGCAAGTGGGCTGGCGCAGCACCGACATAAGATTTCAAAATCAGGCTTGCACCCACCTGAAAATCCATTTGCACTCATGTGAAAATGAGAAAAATAATGAAAAATTGCCATAGTTTGACCAATTTTGGTCTTAACTGTGAAAATTAGAATTTTGCACCCACTAGAGAAAAAATCCTGCGAAGAACACTGACATGCCCAATTGCCCCTTGAATCATTTGTAATTTCATGACTGAAGTAGACCGTTTCATATGAAAAATCAAATAAAATGAGCCACAAACTTCAATGCATTAAAGAGGTTTTATGGCTTTAAAGCTATCAAGATTATCCTGCTCTTTATAAATCTACTTAAGGTGACTTGTACACCATCTATTAAACCAGTATATTCCTTCAGTCATGAAATACCTTGATGTCGACCCATCAAGGTATTTCATGACTGAATGACTGATGTACACCTGGAAGCTCACAATACTAAATGTAGCTCATTGAAAGACTGAAGATTTGGTAATATCAGTATTATTTTAGGCAGACTGTTCAATGATTCATCAATCCAAATGACAAAGAAATCAATAATACTGTTGTAGAAATTTGACAGAACACCTGGATATATCACTAATAATAGCGTGCAATAACATACAAAATGTCACAAACTGCAATTTGTAAGAGAAACTGAGCTCTGAACAATGCCCACAAAGCGGTCAGATACTATAACAATATGCCATCACTTAGAGTGGTGACATCAACATTATTGAGATATCAGAATCGATTCTTACCATGGCAGATACGGTGAAGTCTCTAGAGTGCATTTTCTCAGTGAGCCAATCCACCTTTCGCCTTGTGTTGCAGAAGATGACGGCCTGAGTAATGGTGAGAGTCTCATAAAGATCACAAAGGGTGTCCAGTTTCCATTCCTGAAAGTCAAGAGCTTGATTACGAGTTTGTTCGAGAAAATTAGCATTTAGGTTTCCTGGAAACACAACACAAAGTGTGCTTTATATCCCCAGATTTTTGATTGATGAGATAAATTATTTAATTATCATCTATTAAACATAAGTCCAGATGGTGACAATAATAAACCAACACTTTTCTAAGTTTTGTCAGACACTTTGGTACCAATGCACCAGAAAAAGATGCACCAGTACAGTCAGTGTCTTTTAATATACACAGCATAAACGCCAAAGATACAATGAAAGTGTAAAATTGGAGCTGGACTGTGACTAGTTATCTAATAATTCTTTATTAATTAATTAATTCCCAACTAGAAAAACAGCAACTCCACGGAGTAACAAATCCCACCGAACAAAACATATTTTGCTTAATAGTGGCCATCTTTAAAATTCATTCTTGAGCAGAGCTTGTTTGTCCCTAGACATCAACATATTAAATGTAAACCATATCCATCAATTAGCATTTGAGTTATCAAATATAACATTCCCTTTTTACGAAAAATGGCAGCCATTTGGGAATTTAGCCGCCATTTTGAAAATCTTTCTCGAACAGAGCTACTGTGTTCCTAGGCATCAGCATATAAACTTTAAAAAAATCCATTCACTGCTATTTGAACAAGATCGTTCAACTAGAATTTGAGTTATAAAAAATTATGTTTTTTTTATGAAAAATGGCAGCCATTTTGAAATTCAGCTGCCACCTTGGAAATTCTTTCTTGAACAAATCTACTCTTTCCCTAAGCATATAAAATTTGAACCAAATCCATTCACTGGTATTTGAGTTATCAAGGATTAAGTTCCTTTTCTTCGAAAAAAGGCCACCATTTTGATATTTAGCAGCCATTTTAAAAATCTCTTCTTCAGGGTAGCTCCTTTGTCCCTAGGCATCAGAATTTAGAATTTGAACCAATTTGTCCCTAGGCATCAGCATATAAAATTTGAACCTGGTATTTGATTATTAAAGATTACATTTTTTTACGAAAAATGGCAGCCATTTTGATATTTAGCAGCCACTTTAAAAAACTCATCTTCATAGTAGCTCCTTTGGCATCAGAATTTAAAATTTGAACCAAATCCGTCAACTAATATCTGAGTTTATATCAAAGCACACTGAGTTCCCTAATGGAAACTGTGATCATGTCCTTAGCTGACCTCTGCTATAGACAGGCATCAAGTAACAGTAAGGCGGCCAATCGTTAATGCTAAGTTTTGTTTACTGATAAGAAGCAGCATTTAAAAGTACACTGTTATTTAGAATCCTTTGTAATTAACCGTCATTCTAGTTTTTGTCATGTTGACCATGGATGTTTCACAAATTGTAGAATTTAATTAGAAAATTAATTTTGTTTATTCAATTACCTTTCCAGAAATACCAAAAACTTCTAAATCGGTGCAATATACCCTACGCACTGATTGACAGCAATTTGCAACCCTCTCATAAACATTCACATTTGAAACTGAATTTGACATCTTCTTACATAATTAAAGAAATAACTGAAGTTTGCCCAATGATGCTGTTTATACACAAATGTTCAGGAGTTCAACCTGAGTATTATGATATAAATACCTATTTTCTTTCATTTTTTTTATTTTCCTATATCAAAAATGAATGAATTTTAGTGTTAATCAAATTATGAACTGAACAATTTAAATTTGGATCATTAGAATCGATATCCAGGTAAAAAATTGGAAATATCATATTTATAGCTCAGACCGATATAAGCAGATACTCACATTGAAATTTCTTGGAAAATTGTGCTCTTTTGCCACATATCCTACAGGTGTTAAGTAAACAATCCGCATTGTAACTACTGTTCAAACTTGTCATAATCCAAATTAAAGTTCATCTTACTCATTTAAAAAAAATGAAAGAAAATTTTGCACTAGTGATTGACAAACGTGAAACTTTTCAGATCAACTACATTATATGGTTCTTGTACAGAAAACTTCTGATTTTTCTTAAATTAACTTTGAAGATGGAAAGTATCAAGATAAGCCAGCATTCTTAAGGTTAAGAAAATCAGACTAATGGCTATTAAGAGTATCAAATTGGTGAGAGAGGAGTGTTGGGGTTTAAAGTGATGACAGGCTAATTAATTTATTTGCAGAAGATGTTAATTAAGTATACCATATAGTTGTAATTCCAATAAAACCATGGAATCTAGAGGAATCTGAACAGGCACATTAGCCACATTGTTTATCATAACAACAAGCAACTGAGCATGCGTAGCATTAACAGCTGGTCTGCAGCTTAACTTCCTATCAGTTGACCTCAATTCCATTTTGCCTATCTGGCAAAACTGCCCTAATTCACGTCACCATACTAGTCAATGGGCAAAAGGGCAAACGCCTGACTTTTTATCTCGAGTTATGGATTTATGTGGCCTCACTGGCCTATCTGAGGTTCTAAAGCTATGTCTAAGCTACATCTTGACACTAAACTCGATAGGGGCCAATCATCTACTTTTTGAAATAATTGGTCAATTGTGACACTACCCCCTCTCTCTGCAGACACAAATTGAAATTCACAAAAATGAAGGCAAAATTAATACGCCACTTGACTCGAAATTTTCCTTCAGATAACCCAAATAAACGCATTTTCAGAAGAAATGGCATGTTGCCATTGCAAAAAGATTACAACTGTGCCTACATACTAGCTTACTGACTCGTCATGATCACAATTGTGTTGGGACTACATTTATTTTTGAATACTACTTTTTTCTATTCAGCGGAAGTGACGTATTAGGGCATTTTGGCCTAATAGCCACATGGTTGGATGATTTCTGGCTTTAAATTGCGTTTTTCCAATTTACTAGAGTTTTTCAAGTAGTTTTGTCCAGTTTAAGAATATTCTGACAGCAATTATGAAAAATATGGCTACTTCATTACCCCTGGGGTCATTTTTCCAAGAACCCAATGGTTTTCCTTTAAATTTGACTAGTTTTTCATTTACATCATGAAATCCACTGCCTGATGGTGACATTTTTCAGTATCGTGTCAAGAAATTGAGTATTTTATTGCATATTGCAATTTTTAGCCAAAATCACTGAACCGTGAACCAGAAAATTGGACAAATTTGACCCACTTTTTGGCAAAATCTTACTAAAATCATCACTTTTTCATACTTTATTCCATTCAACAACCTCCTGATTTGAAAAATTATGACAAATTTGATCAGTTTTGACTCTGACCTAGAGAATTGGGACTTTTGAGATATTTTTAGCTCGAATGTAGTCATTCAGAGTGAACAAATACATCAAAAATTGACACTTAATTCACCAATTTCTGACTGCACCCCCGATATGTACCTTCTTTCTATACTGGAAACCATAAGATGGGAAATTCAATCTTTATGATGAATAGCAACTCGTTGGCTTCCCCATTTACGACAACAAATGACATTTAGGGGTCACTAAGGACAAAATTGTAGCCAAATATCGTCAAAATCAGTGTTTTTTGGGGTAAAAAGCGAAAACTGCTGATTCAGCAAAAACATTAAATTTGTTCAAGAAAATTCCCCTTTTTGCCTCCGTCCAAAATATGTTTCACACTAATAAACTTCAATTCTGGTCGATTCTGAGTAGTTTTAAAAAATTTTGGTCACTTTCACATGTGACTAATAGGCAAAACTGCCCTAATTCACGTCACCATACTAGTCAATGGGCAAAAGGGCAAACGCCTGACTTTTTATCTCGAGTTATGGATTTATGTGGCCTCACTGGCCTATCTGAGGTTCTAAAGCTATGTCTAAGCTACATCTTGACACTAAACTCGATAGGGGCCAATCATCTACTTTTTGAAATAATTGGTCAATTGTGACACTACCCCCTCTCTCTGCAGACACAAATTGAAATTCACAAAAATGAAGGCAAAATTAATACGCCACTTGACTCGAAATTTTCCTTCAGATAACCCAAATAAACGCATTTTCAGAAGAAATGGCATGTTGCCATTGCAAAAAGATTACAACTGTGCCTACATACTAGCTTACTGACTCGTCATGATCACAATTGTGTTGGGACTACATTTATTTTTGAATACTACTTTTTTCTATTCAGCGGAAGTGACGTATTAGGGCATTTTGGCCTCTATGAAATCAGTGTGAAAGATAACATTTCGAAATTCAGCCACCATCTTAAAAATTCTTTCTTGTACAAATCTACTTTGTCCCTAGGAATCATCATATAAAATTTGAACCAAATCTATTCACAGGTATATATAGGAGTTATCAAAGATTACATTTTTTATGAAAAGTGGCTGCCATTTTGATATTTAGCAGCCATTTTGAAAATCTCTTCTTAAGCATAGCTCCTTTGTCCCCAGGCACCATGTGTATAAAATCTAAACCATATCCGTCAACTAGTATTTGAATAATCAAGGATTCCATTTTTTAAAAAAATGGCAGCCATTTTGAATTAAGTGGCCATATTAAAAATTCCTTCTCAAGCAGATGTTTAAATGCCATAAGGCATAAGCCTATAAAATTTCAATCAAATCCGTCAACTGGTATTTGAGTTATTGCCCGGACACACAAATAGATGGACAGCTTTTCTATATACCCCTCGAACTTCGTTCAGTGGGATAATTACATGACTGAAGGGAAGCCTTACTGATATGTTCTTTGGCAAATAAGCATAAAATCACAATTGAGAATTTTTAGCATCTGAGAATAGCAAAACCAGAACAACGGCAACGCCAAAGCGTAGCGAATCCCATCGAACAGAAATGGCTGGCATTTTTACAAACGAATAGCAAATATCATAAAACAACACACCAGAAAGGCCACCATTTTCAAAATGGTTGCTCACTAGCCAAGTTGTCATCAGAAGAAATAATATGCTTTTAAGTAGCCACCTCTAAAATTTTTGAAAAATCGCACACGTACTTGTAAAATAACACACATAAAAATGGTGGCCATTTTTCAAAATGGCCGATTACTCCCCAAAGTTTTATTAGACAATGTGCCATGCTTAAAGTATTCACATATCAAATATGAACAAAATCGCTCCACTACTTTTCGAGTTATAGTAAAATACGTTAAAATGGCGGCCATTTTTTAAAATGGCCACTGTCTACCAAAAGTGTCATTAGAAATAGACAGTGTGCCATGCTTAAAGTATTCACATACCAAATATGAACAAAATCACTCTACTACTTTTCGAGTTATAGTAAAATACATTAAAATGGCGGCCATTTTTCAAAATTTTTTTCAAAATGGCCGCCTTCTACCAAAAGTGTCATAAGACAGTGTGCCATGCTTAAAGTATTCACATACCAAATATGAACAAAATCGCTCCACTACTTTTTGAGTTATAGTAAAATACGTTAAAATGGCAGCCATTTTTCAATTTTTTTTCAAAATGGCCGCCTTCTACCAAAAGTGTCGTAGGACAGTGTGCCATGCTTATAGTATTCACATACCAAATATGAACAAAATCGCTCCACTACTTTTCGAGTTATAGTAAAATATGTTAAAATGGCGGCCATTTTGAAAAATGGCCGCCTTCTACCAAAAGTGTCTTTAGACAGTGTGCAATGCTTATAGTATTCACATACCAAATATGAACAAAATTGCTCCACTATTTTTTGAGTTATAGCAAAAATCGTAAAATGACGAGTAAAGGCCGCCATTTTTCAAGATGGCTGCCATGTGCTTCTTTAATATCTACATTTGTAGCATTATTAATGTCCTTTATAATTTTTTTACATTTAAAACATAGTGCTTTTACAGTTTTACATATTACACCTAAATTACTGTAAAATCGGCACTAAAATGGCCGCCATTTTGAAATGAGCGGCCATTTTGAAAATTGGCTTTCGAGCAGAACTTCTTCCCCCATAGGGTATATGTGTACAAAATATGAACAAAATCAGGCCAACGGTATTTGAGTTATTGCTCGGACGGACGGACGGACGGACGGAGGCGTTCCCTATATCCCTCCGAACTTCGTTCGATGGGATAATAAAGTTCATTTGAATAATTTGAATTTGTTAAACTAGGGAAGTAAAACATGGTAGAAGGACAAATGTATACAGAACTACTATCAGATTCAAGACCACTTGAGGACTAAAATCCTTTGGGATCAAAATCATTGTGGACCATACTAGCTGGAACTATTATATACCTCAAATGTATTCTAGATGCTCATTGGCTTATTCATGGTCACATGACATGGAATAGATGGAACTATACTAACCTCTCTTTCTACTGCAATATAAAACTGCCTTATACCCTCTAGGGTGAGCTCCTCTTTCTTTACTAGAATCCTGATTGGTTCACGCATGAAGCGTTTAGTGACCTCTAAAACGTCAACTGGCATAGTAGCCGATAACAAGATAACTTGAATGTCTTGGTTCAAATACTTGAACACATCATAGATCTGATCTTTGAATCCTCGGGACAACATCTCATCAGCCTCGTCGAGCACAAACATACGAATATTCTTGGTGCCTGAAATAGAAAGTTGAACTTTTACAATCTAGGGATGTATCTATTTCACTCTAAGTACATTTTACCTATTATACTTAAGACATTTGAGCCTGGCCAGAGGAAAAGGGGTCTTATCACAGATTTTTTCAATATTCTGATTTTTTGTTTATCTTAGAAAGCACAAAGAGACCTTTCAAATGAGCTATGGCTTATGTCTTAACAATTTTTCCTTGCATATATAGACCAAAAAGTCGGATTTGAATTTAGCACATTTTAATCTTAATCTTGGGCACATTTTTGGCTCTGTAGCACAATTCTAATTTTTGTGATAAGACCGGTTTTCCTATGGCCGGGTTCATTTTATAATTTCAAGAAACAAGATATGCAAAATATCACCACCTGCCATTTGAAAAAGAAGTCAACTGCCGACCCCAAATGCCAAAAGCTGACCACTTCAAGAGTTGTCCACAAAAAAAATATAATAATATGTCACCAAGGCGGTAACATTAAAACACTGAAAGTGAGTAAAAACCATACATTCAGTGGAGACAATGTTTTTGTAACTTGCCAAATTGAGATGGCAACAACTGGACATTAGGAAAGAGGTCTGTTACCACCTCACCCAAATGACAAGCATTAATATATCCCCGTTGACGACCACCATTGGCATCATTAGAACATCAGCTATACCAATGTTCCAATTACAATGAGGTGCTTTTTTAGGGGAAGAACAATGAAGATACGGTGGTCAATACCTAAGAACATGGTTAATTAAAATAACATTGTAAACATGTTTTGATTTGTGCATTACTTCAAACACAGTTACATTTGAAAAAAGTTTGGCAAATTTTGTGACAAAAGCTGCCTGGACAAGGAAACACTGCGAGTTCACAATCAAACAATTTTTGAAAATCACTGCTATACTCACTAAGAGATCCCCTTTGAATCATGTCAAACACACGACCGGGTGTTCCAACAACCACCTGCACCCCCTGCTGCAATTTAAGCATGTCTTCCCTCACATTGGTCCCGCCAATGCATGCGTGGCAGTTGGCATCCATATAGTCGCCAAGGGCAATGATGACTTTCTGGATCTGGAAATACAAAAGTGACAATTTCCTAACTATTTGCTGGGATACAGTGTACTCCACAGGATTTTTTTTGTCCAGGTGGCCGAATGGATAGAGGTGCTGGACTATGAAATCAGATTTTGATAGTTCGAATCCAGCACGCCGGTGGTTCGAATCCCGGTCGGGTCCAATGTTTCTTTTCTTTTTTATTTGTCTCTCGGCCACAATTTTTTAGTAATAGTAATATCTATTACTTTTTGAGCTTTTAGATTTTAGATACATCGTTGGTGTGTTACTTTAAGTGGGTGCAAAAATCTCAATTTCACAATTCAGCCAAAATTGGAAAAAATTCATTATTTTTTTCATTTTCAAGTGGGTAGAAAATGGATTTTCAGATGTTTTATAATCTGTATTAGGGACGGGGTCAAAATATCAATGTTCATATGGAGACGAAAGTAATTTCGTTTGGACAACAACCCCCCCACCCCCCCTCTAGACGAAAGCTTAGGTCACTTCAAAAAAACATTGGCATAATCGTATCCTATTTGCCGGGTTATTATTACGGTGAATTAACACACGTTCGCAATTTAATTGCATTGAACTCTTCAAAAGGAGGAGGGAAAAGTACGGAATTTATTTGAAAAATGATCGAATTATCGTCTTTATCTACCAATATTTTGGAACTATCACACAAAAAAGCTCACAAACTATTGAAAACAAGCCTTTTTATCAGAACATAGCGCCAGAAAAAGTGGGTAAGTCCAATTATTTTTTGTATATCAGATCCGAATTATCGATGTTTTTTTGGTCAACGAAAGTGCCCAAAAAACCCCTCCCCCCCCTCGCGAAAGTACTTTCGTCTCCATTTGAACATCGATATTTTGACCCCGCCCCTTAGTTGAAAGACATGTAATACATACCTGCTGGGCCAGTTCCCTGGTGGGAGCTAAGACAAGTGCTTGGCACTGTGCAAGGTCCATTTCTAACTGTTGGAGGATTGTCACTGCAAAGGTGGCCGTCTTTCCAGTTCCTGACTGGGCTTGAGCGATCACATCACTACCTACAAATATGAAAGACAACAATGAGTTAAGGATGTGTATTCTTCCCAGTTGATTAAGCAGTCTCTAGTCTCTCAGCTCCCAAATACCCCAACAATGATCTCTCCAGTATTAGATCAAGAAGCTGTGTCACCTTATAAAATTTCACATGTTTAGTTATGGCTGTTATTAGCCTGCAAGCCTTCCTGCATAATTTGTCCATAAATGGTATTTAAATTATCAAAATTATGCTTTTTAGAAAGATGGTAGCCATTTTGAAATCCAGTGGCCACCTTGGAATTAATGGACAAGAATAAATGGAGGGTATCTCTATATCCCGATGGTTGGAAAATGAGTGGGTAACATGCGGATTTATTTAGTTTGTAGCTTGCCAAATTGAGATAGCAACAACTGGACATTAGGAAAGAGGTCTGTTACCACCTCACCCAAATGACAAGCATTAATATATTCCCGTTGACGACCACCATTGGCATCATTAGAACATCAGCTATACTAATGTTCCAATTACAATGAGGTGCTTTTTATAGGGAAAGATAAAAAATGTTCCATGACTATGTTTGACTTACAACTATGTTTCGCAACATTACTTCAGTTCAAATGTATGCAATTCATAACATAATGAACTAATAAATAAAAAAGGTTAACTACCTGTAATACGGCAAGGTAAACAAGACACATATTGCACTATTAATAGCAAATTGGACATGATGTAATTTACCCAGTATGCCCAGAACCTGATAAGATCTTACTCTACTATGCTTTCTATAAGTATTACAGATACATACCTTTATTGCACGGCACTATCGCTCTCTGCTGTATAGCGGATGGTTTCTCAAACCCATATGCGTAGATGCCTCGGAGCAGTTCCTCCCTGATGTTCATGTCATCAAAACTATCGTGGACTCCTTCATAGTTAGTCTGCAAATATAATTATGTTCTATTCAGAAACTACAATGGCAACATTTAAGAAAACAAGTTCCCTGAAATGAGTTGATTTTTTTTTATTTTAGTCAGTATGTAGTCAAGTTATATTCTCATAATAAAAAGTATAGATTTTCATTATGGTTACCTGCCATGTAATAGCTATGTTAAATAAATATTAAAAATCAACTTCTAAATAAACTAAAATAGGAGCAATCTGTGTTTGTATTTTTAAATCATTAAAACTTACATCAATTGGCAAGGCAACCATAGGAATACATGGGGGTAGAGAACCATTTTCTCTTGATGCACTTATCTTCATAGTTTCTTTGCCAATTTTTGAGCAACTTTTTTTAGCAGAACCTGAAGGATCGTTAGCTATAACCCCTGAACTTTCCAAACCATTTATTGAACCTTTTTTATAACTATTTCCTGAGTTTTCTTTATCTTTCAAACTAACTCCTGAGTTTTCTTGATCTTTCGAACTACCTCCTGAGCTTTCTTTATCTTTCAAACTATTCCCTGTACTTCTTATAATATCCATGTTTTCAATTTGAATGCCATGATTAACCATAGAATCTTTGAGACATCCAGAGTTACCATGACTTAACTTGGAACTTGCCATTCTGCTTTGTTGGTTGGTAAATGAATAATCAGCCATTTGAACAAGAGAAATCCATATATTTGACATATATCAAATATCACTTAGTTAAACATTATCATAAACTATATAGGCTAATATGATGAGATGTCAAACCATCAAAAAAAAGTTTCAACTAGATTTCAAACAAGATTCATGCAGCCAATCTCCAACAGTACCTTAGGTACCACTTTTGCTACAGTAATGTATGGTACTAAAACAGTACCATGCGGTACCGTGCACACATGAAACCAAATATTCCAATGGTACCATACACATAATATACCATGATTTGATTTCAGAGTAGGTTTGGGGTGTACTACATGCAGAGCCGCCGATGAAAAATGTTAACATAAGTGATGTTTTTTTGAATCAGTGAAATGTATTTTGTAACTTGCCAAATTGAGATAGCAACAACTGGACATTAGGAAAGAGGTCTGTTACCACCTCACCCAAATGACAAGTATTAATATATCCCCGTTGACGACCACCATTGGCATCATTAGAACATCAGCTATACCAATGTTCCAATTACAATGAGGTGCTTTTTTAGGGGATGCTGTGGAGAAAATGAAGAATAAATAAAAGAGACCAGCGCTTTTAGTGACGCAGTCCTATCATAGAATGGATGTTAAAAAATGTCTTGTAGAAATAGCTTACAAGCTCTCCCTTAAAATCATTTTTTAAACAATTCCAAGGCATTCTGAGTCGAAAATGCCGAAAATTTGAAATGTTGAAATTTGTCAGATAGCAAACTGAAATGGGTTTGAACCCCTCCCCCTAACTAGATTTATTTAGTTTTCTATCCGACATCGAACTTTTGATGCCTCCCCTAAACATAGAAAAGTTGAAAAGTCTTCTTCCAAATAAAGACATGAATTATTCACTAAAATATGTTTTCAGGTTTTTGAGGGGGATAAGTTCAATTTCTTTCATGGGACTCACTTTTAAAATTTGCTACTGAAAGCGATGAATATATAATCTGAGAAGGAACACTCTAGTAGATTTTTAAAGTGCTGATTGATAACGTACAGACAAAGCTATAAAGGTCAGCTAATATTTTAGCATTACATTCATTGATTTATTACTCAATTTGCAATTAGTTTTTGACAAACTATTGAATATACTGTCTGTATTGTGTGTAATTAACTGAAAGTTTTGGCTTGATAAGGTCAGCTGTTAAATGATGAATTAAACACGGCTGGTCAAGGTAACATTATGAATTATGTCTAATTAACAATGATATCTCAAGGTTTTTTTTCAGTATGGTGCTATAAAATACTTCTATAATTTGTTCTAATCAGAAATATCATTGATTTGCTTGGAAAAATCAACAGGGTGCACCACCTGGTTTCTCTAATGCTAGGGAGATCATCAAACTATTCAATCAGTCCAAATGATGCAAGCAGGATAGGGATAGCACCCGGCCCTGTTGTAACCCCGCCCATTGTCTATATTGTACTAGGAGCTGCTTGACCTTCTGGAATAATTGGGACATAGACAATTATGTGATTCCATATATGGGAACAAAAATTATATAAATACATATGTAGTGCCAGTGATCTTTCCTTTGGAGCAAGTGGGGACAGCACCCACCGGAGATTTTAAAAACAGGCTTTATTGTGAAAATGAGGATTTTGCACCCACTTGAGAAAAATCCTGTGGAGAACAAAGTACTGTCTGACCCTGATTCATGACTTAATTCATGATCAGAGATGATATTGTTAGAGTGAGCATTACATGATATGGATCTCAGTCTCAAAGAATATTTCTCAGAACAATAGAATTAATATTTTCATTGAATCATATGTTGTTAGAAATTATATTGATTCACTAGTTTTAAAAATCAAGCTTTAAAACCAGACTACTTCTTTTCCATCTATTTAGCTTTTTAATAACATTTTTATTAGATATTTTTGGCTGTAGTTTCACAATTTTTACATGCCATCTATTGAGCCAAATGAAAAAAATCACAACAATCACATTCATCATTTACTGCTTAGAAGAGGCAGCACAAAATTTATGTTTAGAAACTTAACTAAAACAAGTTTTACCTCAGACCTCCAACCCCAGCGGTGGCGGTAGGCATATATTTTTGTGAGTCATCATGACTCAGGTAGTTTCAAAAAAGTGAGTCACAAGAAAAAAAGTTGAGTCAAAGCTATAAAAGTGTTTTTCTTGAGTAAAAATGCATACAAAATGTAGAAACCACATACAAAATCTATTTTTTGATTTTGTGCATACCTTTTATTGTACTCTAATAGCACATTAACAACTAACAATTAATTAATTAGGCAATTGCAAGAAAAATGTCACTATTAATCATCTGATTATCTGGTCCAGCGAGTCATGGGTGTGAATGGAGTGGGAGAGGAGTTTCTCCGTGTGGAGTTACACAAATTGGGGTCAAAGCGTTTCATGTTGAAATTCAACATTTTTGCAATCATTCCAAAGTCTAAAACGGCAATATAAGTCCGACCACAATACTGGGCATCATTTAAATTGAATGCGGTAGAATCTTGTAATTATAAAATGAAACCGAAAGTAGATTTGTTTTCATACCTAATTTATCATCATTACCCCCCTTAATGTGCGATCGACTGGATTTTCATGTGCCCATTATCTATCTTCATAGGCTTCATATAGCTTCAGATCTAGTGAATCGAAGATCTTAACTTGAGGGAGTTAATTGAAAATACTTGGTGAAAACTTACGATAGATCGGTCACTGTGAGCACCATTGATAAACCTACTGCGCATTACATCTGCGCATGCTGATGAAGGGGACGGCTCAAGGAAACTTGCTAACTTAGCGAAGGAATTTTGCGAACTTGCGAAGGAAACTAAAGGTTCGTAAATCTAGCGTGTGAACATTCAAGGAAAGATTTTATGCGGTAATTTAGATAAATATACGATCACTAAAATCCTTAGAAGGGAGTATGAAATTAATAAATTATTGTTCAATGTTATGTTCGTTTTATTGCATTTTTGATACGCCCCCTAGCACACGAGATAAACAAATCGAGGGATCGATCAATGTTTTCAAGTTTATCATTGAATCTGAATCACAGGGCTTTAAAAATTATATGAAATACCGAAATAAGAAAATGATCGGTAGGAAGGAGGCTCGATTGCGCTGAACGAAATGTTAGATTTCCGGAATTAGCAAAATTATAAATTTGATCAATCACGTATTTTCACGTATAGGGATCAATTTAACCAAGTACCAAGCGGGGATTTTGCATGTGAAACAAACGTGCGTCAGAAAGACTCGGTTGACAATGAATATTTGCGTCAGAGTTGCAAAAATGTGAGTAAAAAACGTAAAAAATTGCGTTAACGCCACCTCTGACCCCTTAAAACTAAATTCTAACTATATTGATAGTCAGGGTGGAGAATTATCCATTTTGTTTTCATTTCTCATTTTTACAAATCAAGGGTATAGTTAGTAGTTTGTCTTACCTCTAACTAAACAAGTTTTACCTCTGACCACCCTCCCCTTAAAATGTAATTTTAAGTACGAAAGGGTATGGTTAGCAGTTTGTCTTACCTCTAACTAAACAAGTTTTACCTCTGACCACCCCCCTTAAAATGTAATTCTAAGTACGAAAGGGTATGGTTAGCAGTTTGTCTTACCTCTATTTCCCCTTCAGGTTCCATTCCTGCAACTCCATCATTGAACTCCTTAGGTTCCTTCTCTTTGCTTCCTCCTTTAGAGTAACTTTTCGGCCCATCTTCAGACCTGTAATACATGAACAATAATTTTCATCATTCAAATTTTGAACTTCCTTTACAGCGCTGGTACTCTACTGGATAATGCTGAGTTACCAAATATGGATTATGCTGAGTTACCAAATATGGATAATGCTGAGTTACCAAATATGGATTATGCTGAGTTACCAAATATGGATTATGCTGAGTTACCAAATATGGATAACGCTGAGTTACCAAATATGGATCATGCTGAGTTACCAAATATGGATCATGCTGAGTTACCAAATATGGATCATGCTGAGTTACCAAATATGGATCATGCTGAGTTACCAAATATGGATCATGCTGAGTTACCAAATATGGATCATGCTGAGTTACCAAATATGGATCATGCTGAGTTACCAAATATGGACCATTTTGGAAACAAAATATCTTACTTCAAAGGTACTATTTTTCTTTTTCACTTATTTCATGCATTGTAGGTAGAATTCCAATGACATTCAGTAACATATGTTTAAGAAAATGTACATGTTGCAAACAAATAGTTCAGAAGACAAGAATCCTGTTTAATACCACACGATTGTTATTTTAACGCAATAGGTTAGAAATGCAGATTATAACAAACCAGTGTAACAACCAGCATAATCGAGTAGAAACTAATCGTTTCGGTAACAAAATGTGGGAACTTTTAGGTACGATTTTTCTTTTTTCCTTATTTCACACACAGTGTGGGCAGAATTCTCACAACATTTTTATCACAAACGTGTGTCAGTATCATATGTTTAGAAAATACAATTGTTTGCAAACAAATAGTTCAAAAGACAACAATGTTCACAGGAATTCCAAGTGATGAGTCTTAGTCGCTTAAGCATTAGATTCCAAAAAAAGATGAAAGAAACCAGTCTTGTCAGATTATTGGAAGTGAGGTTCTCCCTAGCTTACTCACTCAAGAAGAAAATTCAATGAAATGTACATCATGCAAACCGACATGCAAAGAGGCTGCTTCAATTTGTGGCACAAATAATTTCTTGATTTTTGATTTTTTCATAAAAAATTGAAATGAAGTGGTCTTACTTGGCAACTAACATTTCTCCAGGACCACTTCATATGAATTTTTACTGGTCCTAAGGACCTCTACTCAATTACCCAAATGCGAGTAGGTAGTTACCAGTTTCACCACCAGGTGGCTGATTCGGGTCAATTAACATGGTAGGTATATAAGAAAGTTCCCTTAAACTTGAATTTTATCAATTTAAGTGGCTCAATTTTCATATAACCCTTATGCGTCTGATACTTATACCAATGAAAATATGTCCAGTAAAGCAAAATATTATCTGTCCACTAAAAGAAAAGATATTTCATTTTTTGTGATTTTATAGCATGGGGTCTATGGGGAATCTCCCCGAGCTAGAAGTCACATTTACAAAGATAATTAATTTTTCAAAGTTGATTAACACTTTTTAAAACCACATTTCTAGATATAATTTTACTTGTAGATTTCAAATATGATATTACTTTGACTGAATTTTGAATTTTTAATGACGTAAATCAAGATTATTTCTACTCGCATCTGGGTTATTCAAAGGACCAAAACCTCTGATCCTGGTTCTATAAATAATATGTGGAACTATTTGAATTGACTGGAGGTCAAAACAGAACTGTCATCTTTGTTCAAAAAATGTCTAAAAATGCCACATTTTTATCACTTCCTGTTTTGTCAGGACCACTGCACCTTAATACATGCACAGAATTAGCGACAATAAAGTCGAATGATTTTGTGAAAACAACTGGTGAAAATTGTCTAGAGCTGGCATCGAATACGATTTTGATGT